GTATGCATATGTTTATCTATTTGCACCTGAATAAGTCCCTCGATATTAATCAAATTGGGATTATCATCCTCATCGTCGTACAAATGTTTCTCCACATGATTTTCCAGGGTAGATTCAGAATCCATGATCTCACCACATATTGCACACTGGTACACCCTTTCACTCTGTGCCTGTTCGCCCTCACTCATGTTGTCACAATGTGTCTGAATGTGATCCTTCAGAACGTCTGCATTCGTAAAATTCTTGTCGCAAATGAAACAAGAATAAGCTCCCTGATTCCCTCCATCAAGGTTTACAACAGCTGGAGCCGATTGTGATATAGGAAGTGAATGATCAGGATAAATATGGGGGTCCACTTGATGATCATTATGCTCTTGCAAATGCTCATCTAATGCACTCTGAATCTTAAAAACTTGATTACAAATTTCGCACTTGTATTTACTTGTTTTGCAAACGTGAGTTTTAACGAATTTTGCTTCAACAATTTCTTGGCATCTTTTACATCTCATCATCTTATGCTTCACCTCAGAACTAGGGGTGGATGTATGGCACTCATGGTGAGTCTCCATTTCAGCTTTTGATGAAAAAATAGCACCACATATTCCACATATGTGATTATCGATATGCAAATCGAGATTCTCAGGGGTTTTGATTGAATCATCAGGCTTTATACTTGCTGTTGAGTCAGTTCGAGAGCACTTCAATATATTGGGAGTGTGAGAACTTTTCACGGAGTAAGTTTTTCGAGATGGCGTTACCAAAAGTTTAGTATCATCAAAAAGAAATTCCGGAGTTTTGCGAACTTTTTCTTTCACTTTTCTCGGAGAATTCTGGCGTTTTTCTACCGTGGGTATTGCAACTCGCCTCAGCAAAACTTTAGGTTGAAACAATGGAGATTTCATAGCAGCTTTGATGAAGTGCGAAGAAAAAGTCTTGTTCATTCGATCACCTGCTGTTATTTTGCTCATGGGTACACGTTTCATTCTAGAATTTTCAATATTTTTCTTAAGAGTTCTTTCAATCAAGTTTTTCAACTTCTGCTCCAGAGTACGTCCACTATCTAAAGGCTTTGATTCAATCTTCTCCTCTATTGGAGTATTGTTCATCAATTTTTGTTTTACCTCCATTTCAATAAATTTAGCCAACTCCGTTTGAACTTTCTGAAGTGTTGGCAATTCTGTTCCTTCCACTTCAATGTTCAAACATCTCTCAATCAATTTTTTATCATTCTGAGTGGTTTTTAATAGTGGACTGACACGTTTCAATTTAACCGCATCCATAATATCAGTGTTTTGATAATTTGGTAGATCTTCTGATCCTTTTTCTTTCATTAAATGGTTCTGATTGGCCGAGGGATCTGTTAACATTAGTGTGGAAGTTACCACATATGTTGCATCTCTCATCATGATTTCAGATTGGACGGATTGTGGTACAAAGTCTTCGGTTTTGTCAAGTAGTTTTATTTGACTATTATCTTCTGAAGATTTTTGAAGATAGGTGTCGGTTGCACTGATCTCCAGGGATCCTTCTTGTTGAAGATTGTGGCATGCTTTACTTACTCGTCTCTGTCTCTCTGCTTCCTTCTCCGCATTGTTCTTAGCCCTTGCTTTCTGAATTGGAGATAGCTGATTGTCGTCTGATGCCATTGAGTCTGTATCTGAATCATTCTCACCGGTGGCTGCTAAGAGAGCCTTTTTACGAGCTTCCCAACGTTGAGTAGAGGCTAAACGCTGCTCAGACGTTCGTCTACCATTGGAGGACCGAGGTTTTAAGGTTGGACTTGGCATTCGTTGGGAGTTGGTCTCCGATGCACTCTCCAGCATTCCTGGAGGAGTGGGCAGAGAGTCCAAAAGATTTTCAGAAGGCTCTGGGGAGATTTCCATTTTTATCGGATTGTCGTCCAATTTAACGGGCGACATCCTCAAGGATGCTCCTGGTCGCATTTTTTTCTGTCGAAAAAAAAACATAAACGATGCAGAGAATAAGGAACTAACTGAACTAACTAAAAAAATTATTTAAACAAACTCCAGTGAGACGAGGTAAACCGTAAAATTCATGGATATAAAAATGATTTTTCTAATGGCGGGCGACGCAATTGGATATTCAAAAATCATCTCTGCAATAATGCGTTGAAACGTGAGGACGATGTCGCGTCTTTGTTTTAAAACTATTCATTAATTTAAAACACGATTTTCTACGTTTCATCACTCTCCTCTCATAATGACCTGAAGGTTTCATGACATTCTCAGACTTTTTGAATTATTTTAATCATCCTTCTAGAATTTGAGTCATATTCACTGAGCTCGTCCTTAGTTACACATATCTCCAAAGTATTACATTGAATATCGAAAAACAAAACAAACCGTTCAAATTTACCTACAAAACTCTTTCCATTATGCTCACTTCACTAGAAAAACTGGAGTGCTCTCATAATTCGATATAAACTCGTCCAATTAAACAACAATCATCTATATTCTACGAACAGGTTTGATTACCAAAGACTTGAAAATATCTTTCCGTCTTAAAATCTTTTCAAAAGAACATTTACGTATTGAAGGCCTTTTTCCACACTGATTACACATTACGTTCATAATATTTCAAGCAGTGACCGTGACAAATAATAATTATTGCAAGCAGTAGTAACATTTGGGGTTAGAAAAATGAGTCAGATATAGAGTATCCATAATCATCTTTTTCATCAATAATTGCTCCAGCCAATTAACTTTTAGGTCAGAAATGTTAATTGGCGTGAACTTACAATATGATCTGATAATTCAGAGCCTTCTAATTGCTGCACAAGGATCCTATTGCTTCGCAAAAATTGTGCTTTGAAATCACACCACATGTCAAGTTTGTAAAGACAAACATGACAAATACTTCTTGGATATCCCTCATTTTCATCAATCTGAAACGAATAATAATTATTTGATTTAATCAATCAAACTCTTAGTCTACCATAACCAAAAATTGATAAATTATTAGAAATAAACACTACATTAATGGAGGTACTTTCGGCGAGTTCCTTGATCATTCCACGTAATTCAGTGGTGAATATATCTGTCATAACACCATTATCACACAAACAAATCCGACATGTCTCCATTGACGATGATTTAGCTCGTTTTGGCATTTCGCCGGTTTTCACTTCAATATTTTTACCCACTCCAAACTGCTTGAAAAGAGGAAAAACTTATCTGTACCTGTGTTTTTTAGCCCTACTATGTGCATCAGTGTGCATTATATTATGTATCCCGTATGTATAAGAAAATGCTCTCACCGCGATGTGAATCATGTGAATTTAGGCGTTAGAGGATACAGTTACAGTTTAATAGAAATAAGCCCTGAGCCCTCAAAACTCATTACAATTTATTATTATTGACATTTTTTTCTACACTTATTAACTAAAACTCTAAAAAAAAACATAGAAACCAATTACAGAGTATTCCAGAAATCCAGAAACTCGACATTGACTTCAAACAAAAATAAACACTACCTAATTTGACAAATAAATAATTAAGGTAGTAAATTAAGTAGTTTTTCTCTGAAAAATATATTTCCTCGTCTTCTTCGAGAGGAAACAATAGGTGTAATTAGTTACTTGATTACTGAGTTATAAATGTATTAAACAATTTTTGCAGTGTACATTTGTGCATTTATGATTGTTCTCCAATTCGTCCTCAGTTCGTGTCGTGGGTTGCCACTTACATTATTTAAATAAATAG